CACACACACACACACACACACACACACACACACACACACACACACACACACAGAGTATTCACACATGCACACCTACCAAGCACAGCAAACAAGCCTATGTGAACCTATGGCATTTCTGTATTCCTTCCTAATGCTCCAGTCCTGCTCATGACTGGCTGTTGCGTGTCCATGAGCTGCTTCCATGTACTTCTGTCCTCCTTCGGGAAAATTATGGTATTTTTTTTGAAGCATAATTAGATGAACTTGTTTTGATTAATTTTTATTATGGGGGCATTTTTGTTCCACTCTGTACTTGATTTGTTTTAACAATCTACAATGTAATGAACACTTAGTCTCAGAAGTCAAACTATGTAAAATGGTATACTCGGGAAAAACACTCCACCCTGTGTTCTTCTTCTCCCTCCTTCCCATCCGTTGTTTTCTTCTGTTTGTAAGTGCACGTGCAAAAGGAGGCAGGGAAGGGGGTTACATGCCTCTGTGCATAGGCAGGTGCCACATGCATGCAGAGGCCAGAGGTCGTTGTCAGCTTCCCCCTCCATAAGTCTCTATCTTGTTTTCTGAGACAGGGTCTCTGGTTGGACACACTTGGAGCTTACTATTTTGGCTAGCCTGGCTGGCCAGTGAGAGCCCAGGATCCATTTGTCTCTACTACCCTAGCCCGGGTTCCAGGCGTGTCACCACACTTTCCCCTCGAATGCCTGGCATCCAAACTCGGGTTCTCAGACAGCCAGGAAGCTGTATCCTGAGATGCTCCCGGCCCCGTATCCTGCTCTTTCTGCATATGAGGTGTGCCTCTGCTCCCATTGTCCCTCCTTCAGGTGCGAAGGGCAGGGTATTATATGTGCATTTTGGTACAAACACTGTTATATTTTCCCTTGTTCACACACTACACTGTTCTGGACCCAGACAAGTAGGCTCCTAGAATGTAACTGTGTTCATATCTTCTGGCCCCTTGCAAAGATCTTATCATTTCTACCAGAAACTTCATTCAAATAAACTTTTGCCATAGTGACTAACATTTAACTTCTTGGTGATGAGCACCTTAGAAATAGTAGAATTGTATTAAAAATAGTGTAATGCTTTTTTGTTATCCACTGAGGTTGATACCAGATGCAGTAAACTGGAGGTGAAATCTGGTACAGCAGGTGGTGGTGGTGGGAAGGGTTGCTTTCCCGTGAATAGACAGTGGTACAGGTATTGGCAGAATTTATTCTGAGAAGTCCTGGTGACAGAAGGGTTTACACAGGTACTCCACCATGATGAGCAAGAGACACGAGAGGCGTTTTTATAGTTCTAGTTTAAGCCAGTAAATGTGATGTTAAAGTAAAATTTTACTCTCTGACATTCTTAGCTGCACAGGGTAACATTTAACTAACTTCTGCTCTCGTTTTTTTTAAAGAACTCAGATCATATATGAATCCAAAATAAGAGCTTTGTTAATATGTAATAACCTACATTTAGTGTGCTAAGACCAGAATCAAACATGACAAATGTCTGTCCCAGGGTCCTTTTTGGTAAATAATAAGATTGAAAGCCCACTTGATCTTCACGGGTGTTTAAGGAAACAATATCCCGTGGGCACGTTTTACATAGATCTTCTAGGTTTGCTCAAGGGTGCAGCTCTGGATTGAGTGTAACTCTTGGAGTTGAGAAAGTGAGTGTCCCAGGCTAAGCAGTGCATTGTTCATGCTTCGGGAAGCTCTGGTTATAGAGGAAACTCGTCTGTCCTCCACATCTGGCTGTGTTAGCAGCAGGATGCAGCCTTCCATGTCTCTTTTTTATTGAGGTCAGAAGGCACTATCCCCAGAAGGAATGCTTTGGTCTGGAGGTCAGAACATATGTCCTGCACACCCTCCAACCCCAATCCATTATGTCTTGTGCTCTATATCTGGAACCTCCCATGACCTCGTCTCTTCTGCCCCTTTCAGAGGGCAAAATGGAGATGGAACAGCCCAGGCCAAAGGTGGATCCTAAGATCTGAATGGAAAAGAGAATCAGGGGCAATATGTGGGAGCCTTCCTTGAAAGCAGAGAGAAACGCCTGAGCAAAGGTTCCAGTTTTGCTAGATGTTTAAGTGCCTATTCAGCTCTCAAAAGGCCTGGAGTTGAGGGAGGGGCTTGAGGAGAGAGTAGGGAATAGGCTCGAGGAAAGCAGGTCGTCTCTCCTTTGCTCTAGTTAGCAAGGTCATGCAAGGGAGCCGTGCTGGTTTTGCATTGAATAGCAGGACAGCAAGTGAGTGGAAGAGAGCAGCAGCAGTGTCACAGTGCTGGGGTCTGTGTGCAGAAGCCTCTCTGCCTATAATCTCACCTGCTTCCTAACAGCTTTAGTTGTGTGCCCCAGACCCATAGTTCACGTAGCTAGGTGCCTGCTAACAGTCAACAGTTGGAAATGCAGATGGTTCCTTGTGTGTGAAAATGGGGCAGTTGTGCACCTGACTCTCAGATTTGCCTGAACAGGTGCAGAGTGTTGTGTATGCGCACAGATTATGGGGTTATGGGGTTGCAATCAAGAGAGACAGAGAAAACAACAAACAGTTGGGGACATTGCCTCTGCCAAAACCTTTCCAAGGCAGGTGTCCCCATAAATGGGCAGCAGGTTGCTCTGCCACTTCACCTCCTCCAGGGCAGGTTGGGAGAGATTGTGGCCAGAGGCAGAGGTTAAAACAAATATGGATACTTCTAGGACTACAGGTTTTGTCTAGGAAGGGAGATCTGGGCTGCAAGATGGGTCCATTGGATCCCTGTCCAATGCTCCGAGTGTTCTCTTTGGCCTCAGCTCAGATCACTTCCTTATGAAGTGGGTAGCCAGGTATCAAAGTGGGTGGAGAGAGTGAAGGGCCACTCTGATAGCCCATGATGTTTTGGGTCTGGGCTTCTTTGTATCGCTGTCCTGAACCATGCGTGTGTGCCAGCGTGGTCTTTGCAGCTCTGACACCCACAGTTCTGCTCAGGGAGACACTGTCTTGTGTCCTGTGCACGTGTGTGGCTCCACTGCTGTGCTCTTGTGATTGTGCTCAAAACTGCCTGTCCTGCTGTAAGGCCACTGCACAGCAGGGCATACGGCTCGTGGCACAGGTCCCCACAGAGGTCCTAACCCTCTGCTCTGCTCTCTTTGCCTCTCTCAGAGAATTCTCCAAGGAAAGAGAGAAGGCTAAAGCGCGAGGAGATTTCCAGAAACTTCGGGAGAAGCAGCAGCTAGAAGAGGATCTCAAGGGCTACCTGGACTGGATCACCCAGGCAGAGGACATAGATCCTGAGAACGAGGAAGAGGGTGGAGAGGAAGGCAAACGGAACAGTAGGTGTTGCCTCTCCGGTTCCTGACCCTACAGACCTGCTGTGTGATTGAGGTGCTGTGGTGTACCCCCATGCCCTGCACCCTTCTCCCTGGGCTGCGGGTAAAATACACCTTCCCAGCTTACCCCTCCCTTCTGCCTGCTCAGGTCATGGAGAGATCAGTGAATCTGTGTGCACTCTGGGTTTCCACCTCAGGTGTGGGCTTTAGGTGCCTATCTATGTAAGGTGGCTTTCTAGTTGAGGAGAACAGCAGTTTGCATTGTGGACCTTGGGAACTTGGTAAGCCCATGTTTCTGTGGGTGGAGGGTAGAGATACTTCTGAGCTTAGAGCCGCAGGGCAGGGCGGGCGTGGTTTCCCACACCTCGGGAGCAGTAGTTCACCTGCACAAGGATTTGAGGAGCAGGCTCCTTCCACCTCTGTGCTGTGTGAAGTGGCCCCCCCCCAGTGTTCTCCACACCAATCCAAGTGCTTAGGCCATCAGGGCAGGGAGAAAGCAGCTGATTGTGGTAGGTAACAACAAAGCTAGTTGTTAAGAGGCCGAGAGTGAGTCAGCGCTTGCTGCTTTGCGGCCCACCTGCCTGGGCCCCACACTGCGACACTAGGCGCCCTTAAGTGCTTCCTGCAGGAAGCAAGGCCCGATAATCAGTCAACCACTGGAATTAATTGCTTTTGCCGATCGCAGAGTCTCTCTTTCCACATACTTTCCCCACAGACGTGCTCTTAGTCGACCTGGGAGCATTTGGACCTTAGGTAAGGGCAGAAATTGAAATCTAACAGTGGATTTGGCTACAATGCTTCTGATTTGTTCCCATTCGGGAATAGTTGTTGGTAAAGACCAAGAACATGTTTCAAGAACAATGTCCCTTGAGAAGCCTAGGAAACCAAGTGTTGTTCTACCACGTAGAAGACATTGAGCAAGCCCTTGTTGCACCGGGCCCTTTGGAGTCATGGTTGGTTCCTTTTAGACCCACTCACAAAGGAATGCAGCCAGAGCTTTGGGTCACAGAAAGGACAGTGGGTACCTCAGGAACTGGGATGATTATCTAGCACACATGGGCCACACTGCATGTCCTGGAAGGTCGGTGTCTGTGGAAGAGCAGTTGGGTGTCAGGAGAAGGTTTTTGTCTTAGGACTAGCATGGGTGAGCAAAGGCCATGCTCAGAGACTGTTGGATTGAGCATGGGGGGTGGGGGTGGGGGTCAAAGGGTAGAGTGAGCTGTGGTGTGCATGTCAGAAGATGTGGGCTTGCAAAGCAGAGCACAGAGAAGCCCACATTAAGGAGCCAGGGATGGAAGGACTCAGCCCAGGTAGCCATTCTGTCCCTTCTAGTCTAGGCTCTAATCTAAGCTGCCCTGGGAGAGTATTCCTCATTGTCCTGGGTCTTTGCAGCTGCCTGCAAGGTTGGTGTGCTGATGGGGACTCATGGGCTATAGTCTCTGACCTCTCACCCACTGCAACAGGGAGGGAGCAGGGCCTCAGGGCCTGAGGATGAGGAGACTCCCCGGACACAGTGGGAGGTTTTCTGGGGCAGGGTGAGGTGACTGTCTCTCACACAGATCAGGGTTGACGGTGGGTGGTGGTTTCATCTCTGCATTTGCTGATGTGTGTGCTATGATAAGACAGAAGAAATAGGCACAGCTACCCTTGCAAACAAGCCCACCTGAACCCCTGAGGCCGCTAAAGGACTTCCGTAGCTTTACCGTGGCTGACAACACTGCTTAGGCCCAGCTGCAGGTGCCTCTTAGATTGCTTTCTGTTGATGTGAGAAAACACCATGGAGAAGAAAATAAGCTTGGAAGGAAAGGGCTTGTTTCAGCTTACTGATTATAGTCCATCACAGCGGGAGGTCAGGGCAGAGGAACTTAACCTAGAGGCAGGAACTGAAGGAAAGCATGTGGAGAACGATGATTCAGGCTTGTTAATCTTGATTTGCTCAGTTTTTTTTCTTGTATACCCCAGGACCACCTGTCTTGGGGAAACTCATTGTGGGATAGGCCCTTCCACAAAAGTCATCAGTCACGCCCCGAAAGACTTGCCCATGGGCCAGACCGGTAGGGGCAATCCCTCAGCTGAGGCTCCCTCTTCCCAGATGACTCTAGCTCATGTCAAGCTGACAAAAACTAGCCAGTGCAGGGCATATAAGCCTTCTCTCCGTTTGTGGTAGCAAACTGTGGAAGCTGGCCTCCATCCGCATTGCCTTCCAAAGCTCCAAACATAGCTGTATATAAACCAAAGAAAGGGTTGTCCCCTTTTCTGAGCCAAGCGCCTTCTTTTCTGGTTTAAATGCCGCCCGTAGAGGGCCTCTTGCATGCCGTTGGATTGCCATAGCCTTGTAGATAAACATATAGCTATAGACAGTAATCCAGCTTCTCAGGCTGCTGTTGTCCATGGTGGAGCTTTTCGTTTTTTAATGGCCTGGGCTGTGAAGCTTGGTTTTCCTGGACGTGATGTCTTCTGATGGTCCCAAAGGGATCACTGTTTTGTGTGAGGTTGGTATCTCCTATGTCGCTTTGTGTAAAGAACCTGACTATAAGATGGCCAATCTGTGAAGGCCCTGCCTTTCAGAGGTTGCTGTGGAGAGAAGGAGAAGGCTGAGGCTTATATGGGGCAGAAGGTGGACACTGTCACTGTAATGAAAGACCGACAATGTACCCTGAGAGCCCACAGGGTCGCAGTGATGCTAGAGTGCGAGAGTGGGAATGCAAGGAAGGCTTCCTGGAAGAAGTAGCCTCCCTCCTGGGCTCTGAGGGAGGAGCTTTAGCTTCAGAAGGTAAGGCAGAGGGGAATCAGACTGAGGAAGTGGCATGGAAAAGATGCAGAAAGTAACAAATGTTCAGATCACTTACGTGGATCATTTAGTCATATCGCCACAGAAAGGAACAGACTTTCTCTATGCCGTAGATCTTCAGAATTAGCCGAGGAATGAGCTCTCAAGCCCATAAAGCTGCACTGCATCTTCCGAGTGTACACATGGCTTCTCCAGTGCAATGATGAGTGACTCGATGGTTGAGCGATGCAGTGGTTAAGCGGCTTACAGTCTGGTTGGCAGGAGCACTGCTTCTGAGGTTGTTCCCAGTTCTTTAGCCAGGTGCTAGGGTTTCCTGCGGCGTGAGGCTCAGGGTCACGATTTCTGGAGTCCTCAGATTGCCGGAGCCTCAGTGATTAGGGCTTTAAATAAGGAAATCAATCCTAGGCTGTGAGGACCATGGTGAGAGTCACATGACTTAGGAGGATAGCCCCCAAGTCACCTTCTGGTAAGGATGAAGGGAATCCTGAACTTTCTGGAGGGGCTGTTCTGATAAACTTTCCCTAGCATCACGATGGGTGCCAGCTGCTTTCTTTGTACTAGGCCAGAAAACCAACCACAGGCTTTGGGGGTTCAGCCAGACTCACACGGCCCCGACTGCCAAACAGTGGTGGCCCTGCCACCTGCATGTGCCAGGTCTGGGACTGTCCTGGGCATCTAATTAGCAGGTGGAGACGTGACGGTGGTGTGGTCTCACCATGGTGTCAGCATTATCCCGGGGTGTGTAAGATTCCCCTCACCTCGTGCTTCACGCCTCAGCCCTGCTCCTAGAGCGTCTCGGGGAGAGGACAGTGCGGTGCCAGGCTCCTGACTTTCTCCTCCACTGGCTTAGAATGGGGACTTGACTGGCCACTCTCTTCAGCTGGACCTTGGATACAAACTGGCAGTTTCCTCCTAGGCGTTGAGTGGTTGGGACTGTAGAAAGAGGTTCTTCTTGGTGGTGGAGCCTGGGTGAACACAGGGAAGATAGAAGGAGCAGACAGAGGCTCATTCCTTACTAAGCATGGGTACCAGGGCTGGGAAGTCCCGCGGCTGGAACTATCGTCATTCTTGCTGCTGTCTGGCTCTGGCAGAACTTGGCATGTGTAGTGGGTTTCTGAAGAGTCTACCAGATCTCTAGCCAATCTCAGGCTAAGGACCTCTTACAGAACCCCTGATCTATACTTTTGTTGAGAAACATTAGCACTCTCCCAAGGGAGGGCAAACAAACCCTCTACCTCAGCACTTCTGAGACCCACCAGCACTCCTGTCAGGCTCTGGAGGTCCGTTTCTGGTTGCTCGGGCTAGGCTTGTTATCAAGGAGCCAGTGTGAAATCAAGCACCAGGAAGTGCTCTGTGATCTACAGTCATGATGGCTCAGTCTCCAGCTCTTACTGTACCTTACAGACTACCTAAGGATCTCATAACTTTCACTGCCTAGACCAGAAGCTCTGGTTCTTGAAAAAAAACGGTAGGAGAACCTCTCTTTGTATGTTCCTGGGAGCGAGTTCCAGGGAGCTCTAGTCAAAAGCTTCTGGGTCTTGGGCTGCATGAGTGGCTGGATCTCCTGAGGGCCTGGCACAGCTGGTCTCTAACTAGCTATCTGGTGCTGGTGACAGGGGAGTCTCCTGTGAGCAGCCTTGGACTATTTAAGATATCCGAGGTGTAAATTTGCTGTTAGAAAGCTGCTGTGCCACAACTAATCCAATAAACAAAATGATCTCAGAAGTTGTTTCCTGAGCATTTGGAAATTTTCAAGGATAATTTATTTAACTTTTTGCTGAGTTTCAAATTTCTTTAACAAACTGACGTGTGTGTGTGTGTGTGTGTGTGTGTGATTTTTTTGGACATGTGCAGCTGGTTCTTTGTGAACAATGTAATTGTTCTACAGCTATTAAAATCTGGAAGCCTAAAATTCTATTTTAATCTCTTCTCATTGTCATGACTAGTTTTTTATTTTAAAAAAAATTAAAAATAATGATGCCATTTTAAAGGGAGCTCATTCTAGAATTCTGACCAGATGAAACAGGGGACCTTCTTGTGGGGACTCTTAAGGACCACTGTAAGTAGTGACAATTGATTCCAAAAGAAAGAATGAGCGGGTACCTGTAACCCCTGTGAATCACAGGCATATCCGACTGTGCTCCTTCATTGGTCCCAGAGTGACAGTCACCGCCCCGCCTGCCCCTCACTGCCTCTTCTACCATGGACCTCA